TCGCTTCCGCACTTAGAATTTTTAATACATACATTTTCTTTAAATTTCTGGGGCCGTTACACTTACACTCTGCACTCTTTCCAAATGTCTCTCATTTCTAATTCACTCATTTTCTACCGAAGATCTTAATTTCTATGTATAATTAAACACAAACACATACACAAAATACATAATATCATCATGTACATCAGAACTATACATTTTAAAATACTTTCTGAATTATCTTGTACTAGATCACACAGCCAGTGCAGTGTACTCAAATTTCATATGTATACACATTAGTTATACATTTTACATGCATAACATATGTACACACATTTTAATACACACACATTCATTATCATACAGACATACATCATCACTACATGTCTCACAAAAAATATATATTTATATTCATACACACACAATTTCTGATATATACATACACGTTCATACTTAAACACGTATACACAATCATACACAATATACCAGATATATATATATTCACGCATTTGTTTTTATCAGGTATGTTCTTATCAATTATGTTTTTATCAATTCATATCTCATTCATCGTATATTTTTTTATATATATACACACATGCGTAACAACATATATACACACACACATGAACACAAACAAACACAAATTAGATATATTAATTATATTCCTATTATACTACATATACATTAAAACATTCACACGCAATGCACTATACATATACACATTTACATAAATATATAATTTATGTCTCCGTAGAGAATACACATAATTCTTACCAACGGTGTAATCATGAAAGTTTTGAAAATCCTTTCTAACTCGTTCTACTGTTCTCTCGAAAATCTGAAGACCGTTTGAATAGTTTTCCTCGTTTATAATAGAAAACACATAAATTAAATTAGAAATAATTTTGAAAACTATATTACGCGAAATTAGGAATGAATTTTACATTCGAACATGCGGTCTCTGGTAGCTAGCGCCACCACGCGCTATCACACGCGTGTCACCGAAAATGTCAGACACTGATGATCGAATCAATGAGGATTGTCGTATGCGGGGCGCCAACATCATATTTGGTCGCCATTCTTTCATTTTTCTTCCTTAATTTATTATTTTTTCTTTTTTTCATTCATTTTTTTTTCTTTTCTTTCATCATTTTTTTTGCTTTTATTTTTTTTCCTTTTTCCCTTTTATTTTCTCTTCTTTTTTTTTTTTCTTTTCTTCTTCCTTCCTTTCCAGCAGCTCCTCTTCTTCTCTCTTCATTTTTTTTTTCCTGTTATTTCATTATATATATACACACATATATATATATATATATTTTTTTTTTTTCGCTTGATTTGTTCTCCTTCTCTCTACATTCTTCTCTTTTTTTTTCTAATTAATTAATATATATTAATTATTTTTTTATTTTTTCTTTTGTACCTGACTGATGCACCAGCTGAGTATTATACAACTATATATTTTTCCTCTTTTATAAAATATTAATCCCATATATAGACTAAAATATAAGAATCTTAACAAATTAAAACTAATTAATACATTTTTGTATGGACAAAACTCGACATTTTATAACTCATTTATAAGCTACACAATTTCTTACTCATCTTCCATGGAGGCTCGTTGAACGGGACCCATGATCAAAGTGCCTTTCTTGTAGCTAGAAGTTCGACATCGTGAGAATCAAGCACCCAAACATTTTTAAAACATGCATTTTAATTGACTTTTGTAGTCCCCTTAATTCTACTTATATTAGCTGGTTCTGGCTCTCTTCATTTTGACCTATTAGTACTAAATTTTTAATGCCCTTTTGAAGAGCAAATCCAGTCCATATAAGAAGAACCTAACAACTTATTTTTTGAATTCCAATTATGAAAGTAACAATAAATAAATCTTCTGTTCGTACTTGATTGGTCATAATTAACTCGGCAACTTAATCATAATCTTATCAACACATTAATTAACACATATGGTCTTAACTAACGTGAAGATTAATTGTGTATTTTAGAACTTCAAAGTGCTCAGTGTCAAGTTCACAAAGATTTATGAAACAAACTAAAATCTATACCCATATAGTGATCTAGATTTAATAAGTTAAGACACATATCTACATATAAAATACGATTAATAATCATTTAGCATTATTAGAGAGTTTTAAATCATACTAATGAGACTTTAATTTTGTGGGTGCCGAAATATGTTTAGTTTTCATCTTTTGAGTACATAGAATGACTGTACAGATAAAAATTTTACTACCTTAAAATATATAATATCATAAATTTACTGAAGTAACGTCTATTATACAAATTATTATAATGTTGGCTATATTAACGGTCACATAACAAATACATTTAGATTAACAAAGAAGAATTAATTAAAATAATTTTTAAAATTTAAATCTTAAGTAAAAAATAATAATAAAATAGTATTCAAACAAAAGGACTATAAATACAAGGCATCACAATCAAGCATCTCAGACCACGTATAATTTTTTCTGGCTGTAGTGTTGTCATATTTCCTAATCAATAAGCTGTTAGCCAACAACATGGAGAAAGTCTTATTTAGGGTTAATATGAATAAATTAAATTGGATTCATCAACCATGAATCACAACTGTTTTGTCATCCACGATATATATATATATATATAAATATTTATATCATGTTCTTAATCACAACATGCAGGATATAATGATTCTGCAAAACATATATAATAAACAATGAGTGAAGAATAAAATTAGTATACAAAAAGGGAAATTAAACTTGAATTTAAAATATTTGTTTACCTTTTTATTTCATTAGTTCATATAAATACCATATTTAAAAGTAATCTTGAAATTTATAATCCACTATTATTACGAGATATTACATTTATTTCACGTTCGAATTGAAAAATATATACAATATTTAAAAATATTATCTTCTTAAAGAAAAAAAAAATCAACATAATCGGTTGTACTATACATATATATATATATATAACTTTCTCCTAATAATCTTGGCTATTTTTTGCAATGAGAAACACACTTTGAATATACTTGCTTATTTGACTTTTGACAATTGATTCGCATGTTACACATGTAAAGAAATTTTCCAATACGATCACGATGAGAAGATAAAAGTGTAATAAAATCGTATAAATACTTTTATAATTGATCATTGACGCCCTTAATAACAAGATTATTCTTGGCCCCATATAAATTTATTAATCAACTCTTCTATTAAAAAAAAAAAGAAAAAAAAAAACTGTATAAAATCATGTCTCATCAAGCTCTTACGTTAATTATATTAATTTTATATAAATTAAATGTGAAATTTTAAAAAATAATTTTAAGTATATTATAATTATATGTTAAAATCACACGAAAATATGATATAAATATAATATAAATACTTGATAGGTTAATATCATAGACGATGATGGGTTCACATTTCCAAGTCATTGTATTCACATTTTCATAGGACCATCACCCTTCGAATATAATTTCAATTCGTTGTTTTCCTCTTCATTGTATATATATATATAAATCTACACCAAATCTGAACTACACACATATATCAGGCCAAACATTCTTTATAGCTATACACATATATATATATATATATATATATATATACTAGTAAAATATTGCATACTCATATCTAGATAAATCATACCGACTGCGGAGATGTCTTCACAACTTTTTGGGGGTATTCAGGCTATGATTAAGGAGGTGAAAGAAGAAATGTTGCAGGATTTGACGGAGAATCCTCACGGGTTCATTGCAGCTTCTGCTTATGATACTGCATGGTTAGCCATGATTCAAGACCCTGACTATGGAGATAGTGAACCGGCTCGACCCATGTTCACTGGTTGTTTGAACTGGGTGCTGAAAAACCAGACAGAAGAAGGGTTTTGGGGGGGGAGCGCGATGCTCATGGCAACCCCACCATTGAGTCTCTTACTGCAACTCTTTCTTGCATTATTGCACTCAATAGATGGAATACTGGAAAATCTAATATCCAGAAAGGTATATATATATTTATATATATCCATACCTAAGTTCATCTACGTGTATGTATATATATATATATATATATACATGTATATGTTATAACTAAATTATGATTTTATATAATATAATCGATTAACATTTGCAGGGTTGGTTTATATAGAAGAAAATGCAGAGAAATTTATAGAAAACATTTATGAGGGATATTGTCCTCGTTGGTTTGCCATTATTTTTCCTGGAATGATCGAAATTGCACGTTCAAATGGTTTGCATCTTGCTTTTACTAGTAAAATCAATGTGGCAGTAACTGAGATGTTCTATAAACGACAAGAAATTCTCGACAGGTTCTCATGCATTGCCTAGTTTAACTATATATACACACACACATGATGAGTATATATAATTTTTTTATTAATAATTTACAGTGAGAAATTAGTTGAGTCCGAGCAGTACGGTTATCCTCTATTATCATACTTGGAAGCATTGCCCTGGACATATGAAATTAATCAAAAAGACTTGGTTAAGCAGTTGAGTGATGATGGATCATTATTCCGATCGCCTGCTGCCACTGCAAAAATTTTTATGCTTACTGGGAACAAGAAGAGTTTAGCTTACTTGAAATCTCTTGTTCGAAATTCTTCTGATTATGGAGGTAAGCTTAATCTATTACTGCATGTCACTGTTAAGAAATTGTATTATAGGTATTATCGTTAGAAAATTATATCGTAAATGTATTCTAATTATAGTAAAAAAGAGATACTTATTCTGTTTTGCATGCCCAGTGCGACCTCTTTATCCAATGGACGAGGAGCTGATAAAGCTTTGCATGGTTAATCAATTACAAAGATTTGGATTAACTGAACATTTCAAAGATGAGATTGAAAGAATTTTGGAACAAATTTACTGGTAACTAATTAACTAATAAAGCATTTCTTTTTTCTTTTTTTTTTTTTCTTCCTTAAATTTACTTATTGTTATGATAATATTATATATATATATATGCATTTGTAGGATATAATAATTAAATTAATTTACATGCTTAATTTTGTATGCGGGGAAAAAAACAGGAACTACAAAGATCGAGAATCAAAGGTAATTGTAATGACAATGAACTCAGCCGCACAGTTATACAAGGACTCGTTAGCTTTTAGAATATTTCGGATGCAGGGATACAATGTATCAGCATGTATGTTCTATAAATTATAGTTAAAATTTTAAGATAATAATATTTATAATAATATTATTAAAAAAATAAATTTTTATTTATAAATATGTCTTTTCTAGCGATGTTTTGTTGGTTCTTAAATGACGAAAAATTTCGGAACTACATCGAAGAAAATTGTCAAAGCTGCTCCGCTGTCATGCTTAATGTTTATAGGGCAACGGATCTTATGTTTGCCGGGGAGTATGAAGTTGAGGACGCAAGATCATTTTCAAAAAAATTACTACACAAGGCTCTACAAATTGCCTCTTCCAATCAGTTTAATTTTGACAGTGCAGTCCCCAATTTTCATACAATGGTAAATTTATTGTCACCCATCATGCATAGTTTGAAATTCAACGCGATCACATACAACTCATGAAAATTAAAATAAGGTTAGACCAAGAAATTACATGAAAATTTCAAATTGGGTGGCCATTGTAATCTATTGCTTATATATTTTTATGAATTAGAAAATTTCAAAAAGAATTTTTCCAAGCAGGTTGAGTATGAACTGAGAAGTCCATGGATTGCTCGGTTGGAGCACCTTGAACACAGAATGTGGATTGAACAGAAAGACTCGAATGCTTGCTGGATGGGGAAAGCATCCTTTCACAGGTTTGGATCTCTCTCTTTTCTCTTTATAAATTAATACACATATATATAGCTACACGCAGACATACATACATACATATGTAAATAATGGTATGAGCATAAATTTGTGGGTATTACTGATATTATAAATAATAATTGATGACATCAGGCTATCCAATCTTCAAAACGACAAACTTATCCAGCTCGCTATGAAAAACTTCCAGTTTCGACAATCAATATATAAACATGAACTCGATCATCAGCTAAAAGGGTAAATAAATATTGCAAAATATTCTATGTATTTACTCAAATATATATTTAATTATTACCTCATAAGAATATTTTTTCTTTACTGGCGTTGTTGTGGGAAAGGTGGACAAGAAAGTGGGGATTTGATAATATGAGTTTTGCTCGGGAAAAAACCACATTTTCCTACTTTGCCATTGCAGCCTCCACTGCATTACCTCATTACTCCGTTATGCGAACCACCGTTGCCAAGGCAGCAATCCTCATCACAGTTGCCGATGATTTTTTCGACATGGAAGGGTCTTTACATGACTTGCGAATCCTTGCCGATGCAGTTCAAAGGTGTATATATATACATATATATATATATATATGTGTGTGAGTACGAATTAATTTCTTAAGAAATATTTTTGGGATGATTAAATTGAAATAATAACATTATTATATATTATAAATTTCAGATGGGATTCGAATGGCTTGAGTGGTCATAGCAAGAAAATCTTCAATGCACTTGATGATCTTGTTACAGACTTTGCAATAAAATATCTCCAATACCAAGGGATTGATATAACGAACCACGTTCAGGATCTAGTAAGATTTAGTTTCTGTGAACATATATACATTTATACGAATTCTTTAACATGCAACATTTGATTGGCCAGTGGAGAGAAGCATTCATGTCATGGCTGACGGAGGCTACATGGAGCAAGACCGAATGCATACCATCCATGGATGAATACCTGCAGACTGGCATGATCTCCATTACTGCACACACTTTAGTTCTTCTAGCTGCGTGTCTCATGGATCCAAGTTTACCTAAACAAATAATCAAGTCATTCTCTCATGAATATCAAACTGTTACCGAATTACTCATGTTGATATGTCGTTTGTTGAATGATACTCAAAGCTATAAGGTAATTAACTAATTCAATCTAGACACTATCTAGTATTAATAGGGTAATTAGTTTAATACACAACATATATATATAGTTCAAGAAGTTTTATGGTATCTACTAATGGAGCTTACTCCATTCCAGAAAGAACAGGAGCAAGGAAAGTTGAACTCAGTGTTGCTCCATACGAGAGAGAATCCAGATGTTAAGATTGAAGGCTCTGTCGCATATGTTAAAGATATAATTGATAAAAAGAACAAAGAGTTCCTTGAACATGTTCTAATGGATTATCAAAGTAACATGTCTAAATCTTGCAAGCATCTCCATTTATCAATTTTCAAAGTGTTTCAAATGTTTTTCCACTCCTGCAATCGCTATGATACAGATTCAGACAAACAAATTCTTCAAGACATCCAAAAAGCAATTTATCTTCCTCTAGCTGTTCAACCCTCAAAACCATGGAAGCAGCATTCTTTTCCTCAACTTCCTCATCATGTAAGGTCTGGATGGAAGAAAGATTATCAGCTAAGAATCAACTCTCACATCGCTTTACCCTTCAAACAGTATCAGAACAGCAGGAGAAATATTGTTGCTCTGCACCAGATTTCCAAATCACCTCTTCAAGTGTTGGCGTATAATAACAATATATCTTTACTCAAAAATTTTATCTGAATATCTTTATTTTGTCATAAAAAACAATGCAGATTCCTCTGTATGCTATGTATGTGTATTATATATAAATGTCTCTATTTCTGTAAGAAATTAGTATTTTATTGTTCGATCTTTGTAAGAAATTAATATTTCGCGATTCAATCTGATAAAATTTATCAAAAATAATAAAAGAAGGAAAGTGAGGAAATACCTCAACACTTTCTTCTCTGCATAAAACTTACATTGTTGTTGCAGCCATCCTCTTCTTCTTCCCCTGTTTTGTTTTTCTGTTCTCATCTTTTTAGGATTTTAGAGTCTTGTAAACTGTAACAATTACATATAGGGTTGCTCTTTCTATAATTATAAAATGACCAAACAATTTATACTAAATTATAAAATAGTTCTACATGTTTTATGAAATAGATATGATTATTCTTATGCCCATAATGAAATAATAATTATTTATTGTTTTGATCTGAGTATTTTCTAATAAAAACTTATTTAATTGGATTCATTCATGTTGTAACACCATACCTAAAAACAACAAAGAAGAAGAAGGTTGCTGCTATATGGGCCGTGCAGGGCCGCTGCCTGTGCTTGATTTCAGGAGAAGCCCAAGGAGACTAACCAGAGCGATGGTAGACTTGAGAATAAGGACAACAATGGAGTAGTTACCGTACGAGTTTTACCAAATCTAAACACGACTTGTCACTATAAATACGACACACGTAACGGCACCAGTTCAATGAGTTTTAGAAAGTCAAACTCAAACTCGCCAATATATAATATCCATGAGAATGTATATATATATATATATATGGAAATCATAGTGTCACTTAAATAGCATGTTTGGTTTTAGTCACCGTCTCCGTCCAGTATTCTTCTGAAACCTCTGTCTAATCTTCTTTAGCGCTGCTAAAACCTCTGTCATATTCTCTCTATCTTCAGCTGACTCTGCAGAGCAATCCAAAGCTAATCTTAAAACCAAACACATACATTCAATTCTAGCTTCCAAATGCTTCTCATTTTCCTGCAACAAACAAGCATCCATAACATCACAGCTTGTTTTATCTGCAATAGAAATCGACATTTCCACCCAGCTCCTCAAGTTCAGTTCTCCTGCAAACATTTCATCCGTAGGCTTCTTTCTTGTGAATGTCTCCATCAGCAGAATTCCGAAGCTATAGATATCGCATTTGGTAGAAACCATCCCCATGGTTCCGTACTCTACATCACATTATAACATTGTAAAGAGAATTTTGCCATGCCAAAATCGTATATGCAATGAGAATTAACAACCATTAATCATGATAGAAAACCAGAAACATCACCTGGAGCCATATAGCCAATAGTTGCAAGCGTCAAGGTTTGCCTGATGGACTCTTCTCCTCCTAACAGTTTTGCTATGCCGAAATCGCTCACATGGGCGACCATATCTTTGTCTAGTAGCACATTGCTTGGCTTCAAATCACAATGAACAATGGGGGTTGAATGACCATGATGTAGATATTCTAGAGCTGATGCAACATCGATCATTATATTCAGCCTTTCTAGGATATTTAGACCCCTGTCCGGAGAATACAACCAGCTTTCTAAACTTCGATTAGGCATAAACTCAAGAACCAGGGCCTTAAAATCACCACTGCAGCAGCAGCTAATGATTTTGACAAGATTCCTATGGCAAATTTTGCGCATGATATCAGTTTCAACATCAAAACTTTTGAAGGCTCCCTCAAATTGCAAATTGAAAACTTTTACTGCAACGGTATCTGTAGTTCCATTTGAAAGTTCCCCTTTATACACTGAACCAAAACTCCCCATGCCAAGCAAGTTGCTTTCACTAAATCCATCAGTGGCTCGTCGAAGCTCTATGTAAGAAATCCTTCTCCATGTTGCACGACGTAAGGAACTTCCTTGATCTGGTACATCCACTTGCTTACGAGACCTTGTAACGATGACAACAAAGGCCACTAGTACCAACAATATTACTGATGAAATAACTGGTAAAATATATTTCAATACAGCGGAAGTAGCTTTCTTAGATCCTTCGAGAGAGCCAGCAGTTTTGCAGGGTGGAACTCGTAATCGAGGCAAACCACACAGGCCATAATTGTGCAGAAAAGATTGCTGTGAGAAGTTTCGAAAAGGTCCTCCTGAAGGAATCTCTCCTTCTAGCCTATTGGCAGACACATTAAACTCTTTGAGAGATGAGAGTGCCTCTAAAGATTTGGGAATCACCCCAGAAAGTTTGTTGCTAGAGAGATCCAAGAATTCCAAACTTATCAAGTTTCCAAATGATCGAGGAATAGGACCCTGAAAGCCATTATTTGCTAGTGAAAGATAGCTAAGATCCTTCAAAGCTCCAATGCTGCTAGGTATATTACCTGATATGTGATTTCTTGATAAATCAAACTCTGTCATAACTTTCAGGTTTCCAGCATCTACTGAGAGAGGGCCAGTTAAATAGTTTGAGGACAAGTTTACTTCCAGGATGAAGGTAAGGCTCCACAAGCTAATAGGTATGGAGGAGTTGAAGTTGTTGGAGTCTAAATAGAGATATCTAAGAGAATCCATACTGGATAGGCATGTGGGTATCTCTCCTGAAAGATTATTATCATGTAATGACAATGCATCCAGGTTTTTTAAATGACACAAATCCCCAGGGACAGACCCCTGTAACTTATTTATAGAAAGACGCAAGTCTTGAAGGTTCTGTAATCTTCCAACAGATGTTGGAATAGACCCCACTAATTCATTTTGTTGCAAGGCCAACATGATTGTGTTGCTTAGATTACCAATTTCCATGGGAATATGACCCTTGAGTTTACAGTTATTGGCATGGAAGTATAGAAGGGTTGTAGAGAGATTACCAATGGAAGTTGGAAGACTACAATTCAAGGGATTATTTGAAATCTCTAAAGTTTTTAAGTCTCTGCAATTTGACAGAGATGAGAGGCCTCTAAATTCGCCATTAGAAGATTTAGTGGTCAAGTTGTTACTGTCAAGATAAAGCAACCTGAGGAATCTAAGATTTCCAAGTGTGCTAGGAAACTGACCTGAAAATGAGTTCTGAGCCAAGTCCAGAATAGTGAGAACAGAAGCATTGGAGATGGATTCTGGAATTATTCCAGTGAGACTGTTTTCCCACAGAAAGATCTCCTCAAGATTTGGTAGGCCAAGGCCTATAGTTGATGGAAGTGAGCCTGATAAGAAGTTATTTTGTAGGTACAGGAAGGTCATGGTTGAGATATTGAAGATGCCAGCAGGTATGTGACCTACCAGTTGGTTTTCGCCAATATTCAAGTACTGGAGATTCTGTAAGTTTCCAACCTCATTTGGTATCTCACCTGCAGATACTTTCTCTTGGTAAGCATTAGCATGTAGCTTATTTTATTAGACCAAATATGTAAATATCATGGACCCACTATCAAAAACAGCTAGATAAGATGGTAATATGTATTAACGCACGCATACACATATCTATATATGTACGTATACGTACTTCGACTTACCAGAAAGACTATTGTTTTGAAAGGAAATCTCTATGAAGGAAGAAATGTTGAAGAAGGAAGGTGGAATAGAACCGGTAAGGCCCCGAGTACTTTCTGCAGCAAATATCTCCAAATTTAAAAGTTTACCAATCTCCTGGGGGATTTCACCTGCAAAAATAAGACCTTCATCAGTCAATCTCTCTTTCTTTTTATGGGATTTCACCGTTTAATTGAAAAGAAAGTCCAACTTTTTAGCTCTTGCCGATCTTCTACCGGCGCTTTTACTGTGTAGGCCATTAGACATACTTTCTATCAACTCCTGCACTCTTAACTTTTAGGAAGAGTTGTTTACTGAAGACTTCAAAGTGAAAATCAGATTTTTAAAACACATTAAATAAAAAGCTCAGAAAGAAAAGAGTGAACCCATGAGATCAATAGAGTTCGGATTAAAAACCTTCTAGATTTGTGTCACCAAGATATAATTCCTTGAGCTTGGTCAAGTTGCCTACGTTTCTTGGAATTTTCCCTGTAAACCTGTTGATTGAAAGTCCTAAAATTTCAAGCTTCCCACATCTTCCAAGACTGGGAGGAATCTGCCCATCTAACTTATTGTCACTCACAGATAGGAACTCAAGTTTCGGAAGTGAATCACACATACCATCTGGTAATTTACCCGACAGCATATTAGACGACAAATCCATATATTTCACGGAAGATACATTAAAAATGGCTGAAGGTATGGACCCAGATAACTTATTATTTCCCAAATCGAGTATTTTCATATTTGGATGCTCAGAAATCTTGGACGGAATCTTCCCTTGAATGGAGTTGTAGCTCAAAGACAGAGACTCCAGAGTTGAGATATTGAAGAGAGAAGCTGGAATCGTACCAGTCAAACTGTTATTACGGAGAAATAAAGATTGAATCTTTGGTAAATCACCAAAATCTGATGGGATTTCACCGCTCAAATGATTGAAAGATAAATCGAGGAACTTGAGTCTACGCAAACGGGTGAGCTCTTTGGGGAGATGGCCATGGAAGCTGTTGTTGCTCAAGTTAAGGGAGACTAAGAAAGATAGGTTCTCTAGATTTGGAGGGATGGTGCCTTGAAGACACAAGTCGGGAAGTTCCAAAGCTGTGATTCTGCCATGGCGGGGACTGCAAGAGACACCAACCCAGTTGCAGACCGGGGCAGAGGCGGTCCAATTGTGGGATAAGATGGTTTGAGGGTTGACATGGTGTTTGAATGCAAGAAGAGCTGATTGATCAGAGGCCAAATTGGCGAGCTTGGAAGGTAAAGCAGGCGGAAGGAAGTGTACGAGGAAAAAGAATAGTGGAACGTAGTGGGAAGAATGCATGTTAGGCGGCCGAGGTAGAATGTCGGAGGAAGCAGAGACAAGGGAATGTGGTACTAGGAACTTATTGCACTTCGGTTCATTTTGGGACCAACTTGTTTTGTTTTTTTCCTTTGAAAATTTGGAACCAACTTATACTAAATCAATCACAAGACAATTTTGAATAGTTTTATTCAATTATTGCTATGCTAGGTTTAATTATGAATATAAATTATTTTCAAGATTATTAATATTTTAATTTCTCTTTATAAAAAAAATATTTAAGTTTAATTGTATTTTATGTCTATTTTTATTAAAAATTACATAAATTTTTAGAAAAATAGTAAGTAAAAATATCAAATAAAGTGTAATATCATATTTTATTAAATCATCAAATAAAATTTTATGTCTTAAAAGATAAATACTTACATCGTCTTAGTTTTCGATAAGGTTCTCATTATAATTTATTTTATTTTATTTTATAAATTTTTATTACGTTTGCTATGTATGTCTCTATTTCAACTCAATCTGTGTAGAACATGCTACATTTGATATTATCGAATAATGCATCTTATTTGTAGGTAATAATGAGTTGATTAGATCGTAACTAGTATTTTATAAGTGGGTTTATTAAGTTTGTTGGCTTCTTTAAGCTTCAATTTATAAGCCTTAATTTGTTTATAATCGTAAAACATATTTCATCGATCTTATTCAAGTGTCATAGTTGATTGCAACTAGCAACTGAGTAACAAATAGTGCACCTGAGCCTTTGTTGGTACTAATGTAATGCGGGCAGTTCAAATTAAAACGATATAAAATGATTCTACCCAACAAGAACGGATTTTAGTGAAAAATCGAGCTTTTTAATTGATTTGAATTATCATTCACCATCATATATTTTTATGACGTACAACAATTTGTTCTAAAGCTGTTGAGAAAGCTTATCTATGGTGATCTGCCGAGAAAAATAAATAACAAATATAGAAAAAAAAAAACGAAAGAAAGACAACAAGTTTGATAGAAAATCTTAAGAGTTCTGACGAATGAAATTGAGGTTTTTATACCTTTAATAAAATAAAATAGTTAGTACAATATTTATACATCACAACAATTTACTTTTACCCCTTATACATACATATACACATACTTAAACGATTTGATAGAAAATTCAATATTTTAACAGAAAAAATAAACGATTTGAAAAATATCAGGAAGAATTTATATAGATTGTATATAATAACTTTCAAATTTCAATAATAAGTTCTTGTGCGAAATAATTACAAACACAAGCTTTCACCACCGATAATAACGCGTCAAACATTAATTTACTTTTTGACGCGATATTGGTGGTGATTCTTTTACACTGGAAGTTGTAATGGACGACTCCGGTAATGGGTTAGGTCATAGTGCATATATATATATATATATATATAGGAAACACTGTATATTGTACATATTATATATGTCTATTAATACTGCATATACGTATAATATACCGTTTACATATTGTAAATATAATGCATATATGAAGTGTATGTATATACTTTTGACCACCCCCGTACGTATTCTTTCTATTCTTCCCCTTTCCTAAATTTTTATTGTAAAATTTGTGAAACTTCTTAAGATTTAATACAAGTTTATTATTTTAGAAATTCACAACTCTTTTCATAAACTCTAATATTGGCACAAATTTAGAACAATAACATTTTAAATTTCAGCATTCTAAAATTTTTAATTAAAAATTAAGTCTCAAATCGTGATTTTCGTCTAACACGCAATAAATTTTACAAATAAATATAAGACAAATAAGACTAGAATTTGATTTAGTAATGTAGTATATGAAAATTCATATACTCAAGACATGTGGTTTTAGTCACGTCTCGTCAGTATCTC